ATCACCGACCACCACCTCATTAGCTTATCAATACACCATCCAAAATATTCCTTCACCCAGAAATGCAGATTGGGCAGTATCTATAACAACAGGAAGAACTTGTTTCAATCTATTAGAAAGAGCCTTGTAAAGAATTTTATATGTGGAGTTTATAAGACTAATAGGCCTATTAGTCTTAGATGCCTGAAGGGTTATCTTTTTTTGGACCAAAGTAATGAAGAAACTATTTAAACCCCTAACCAAACTGCTGTTGATAAAGAATCCTGCAGGAAAGAAAGAATATCACCTTTCATGAATTTCCACTCTTTTTGTAACAAGGTCATATTGAACCCATCAGGACCAGGTGCCTCGTTTGCCATCACAATCTGAGATTGCAGCCCAAATTTCATCTTTAGAGAATACCACTTTCCAAACTACTGAAATGCTAGCTCTATTAAATCAGTTTAAATTGGCCCCGTAGTTTGGGTCTGTACTTCATTGTTCATTAAAGCTAAACCTGAAGTGGTTATACACAGCTTGTTTCACCTCCATAGGAGCTTCACTACTGCCCCATTCACTCTCATAGAGTCAATTGCATTTAATATTCTGTCTTTTTGTAGCAGTGATGTGAAAAATTTAGTGTTTTTATCACCCTTTAAACTCCAATTCAACCTTCACTACAGAAATATAGTTTTGGCGGCCGTTTTTTTAACGACACTTTTTAAAACGTCGCTTTTCGTAATATTTAGCGGCGTTTTAAAAACGTCGCATATTTCAGTAAATAAAACGGTGCCGTTTTGTAATAGAAAGGCGTTGAGACACGCCTCCAAATGCGTTAGACCTCACGCGCCTCTTTTGAATCTGCAAAATAATTGTTAAAGCCTATGTAAACCCTTATTTTGAATACTCACGGCTTCAAATCTCGCCTCTCTCACAACCCTCTTTCTTCATCTCACGATGTTGCTCCAGAGTGGTGTCTCTCTCTCTCTCTCTAGATCGATCTCTCGCTGTTAACCCTCTAAGAGATTCATCTTTCATCTTTGAGATTCAGAGAATATTATGTCACACATTATTACTCCGATATTATTGATTATGATGAAATTAGCATTTGCTATTTGACTTTTATCAGGCAGTAATTCATATCTCTCTGTTTTTTTAAAACCAAAACCATGTTGCTTCTATCTGAAATGATGGGTAATAAAAAGGTGAATGGGCGAATGGTTCACATGTTTCTTCAGTTAAAAATCATTACTTGCTTCTGGTTCATTTTTTTGTACTCGCCTTCCATTGGATTCCAATCAATAACTAATCTGGTGGACGATTACTCTAGCTATCTGATGAAAGTTTTTCATCTTTCATTTTCCTATCTCTATCTTATGATCTAAAGTTAATACAATATCTTTTCTGCACACTTCATTGACAGTAAGTTCCATTTTTCTTTTCATGCTCAGTTAAACTTCTTGACTGGGGGGAAGAGAGCCACAGGACAGAGGCAGAAATAGCGTCACTCAGAGCAGCTTTTACGCAAGAAGTTGCTGTGTGGCACAAGCTCGATCACCCTAATGTAACAAAGGTACCATTTTTTATCTAAACTTCTTTATCTTATTTTTATATTGTTCATTCTTCTTTGGAGCTGTAGCAGACTCAAGAGAGTATAGACTAAACCAAAATATTATTGAATTCATATTTCAATAACATTTTCACTAAATTTTGTTAATCGTCGTCGGAGTAAAAAAATTATTCCAATATGACTTGGTGAATCGTGCGTAACATTTTGGAAATTTGAAACTTGGCAAAAAATTGTAAAGTGTGAAAGGAAGAATGATGTATGTGCCATGGCTCGTTCCACTTTGTCAAGAACTCATGGTGTTTAAGAATACAAGTTATTTATAAAGCTTGTGGTGGGTTTTATTTTGTTATTTTTTATAAAGTTCGTGGTTTAGTGAGTTGGTGTTGATTGATCTAGGTTTTATCACTTAGCGGTATAGTCTAATAATTTTTTCTTGAAGGTTGTTAATTTAGTAGAATTCTTAGTTTTGGGGTTTTTACCATCCAACTCATGAATGCGAAACACAGAAGGTGATGACGATGAGGCGGTTATTGGAACTTATTCTGCTATTCCAATGTTGGGATATTCATGAAAGATCGGTATATTCATGAACTTATCTCTACTTTCATGGTGAGAATTGAAAAACAATAGTTGTTTGGTACTCCCACTGTCCCCACTTTGTGTCTTTCTTATGATTTTTGGAAGTCTTTGTGTTTATGGTTGTCTTGGTTTCGGAAAGACAAAAAAAATGATTTTAAACATTACTTATATTATCTCTTCTTTTTACCATTTATGTTTAAACACATCGCCACAATCCCAAAAGATTTATTCAATGAGCAAGGAGTTTTTTTTTTTTTGTAAATTTAGGTTCAAAGATTCTGTTCTTTAAAATTTTTGTGCCATTGTCAAGTGAGCACACAAATGGGACGGAGGAGCAGTGATGTAGGAAAAGTCACTGTACAGCATGTGTTTCCTAGTAGGACTATAAACAATTGGTATTTAGTTCTCAAGGTCAAACTCTTACTCCATCTGTATTCTTATTTTCGTATTTCAAAATTAGTTTGAAACCAAATTCATGTTTCACCAGTTTTTGTGCGCAGTTTGGCCATTTCCTAGGATGATTTCTGGCCAAGACTTGTGCTTTACTGAAGGTTTTACTTCTTTTTCCTCTCAGGTTTTACAGGTTGGAGGCTATCTTCTTCAAGAAGATTGTCCACAGAGATGTGAAGACAGAGAATATAGCTTCTGCGGACAAGGACTCGTACAGTTTAAAATAGCTGGACTTTGCGTGTTTGCTCGTGTTGGAGGCTTCAATCCTAACATCGTGTCAATGAAAAGTATTGACATTAGCTGTTGACATCAGCTGTTTTGAATCCTTGTGATTGCTCGTTGTTGACATCATGCTGTGTCCGCCAAGGTACAGAACAGAAAAATGTTTTGAAAAAATGTGCATTTGCATATGTGACCTTGTTTTTGCGTTCTACAAAGATATGAAACATTGAACTTTTAGCTGCATTTCTTTCATTTTTCTCGTCTACTTTTTTTGCCTATTCATTTGAATGTTTAGAAAACAGAACTGTGCAGAGCTGTGATGAACAAGATATCAATGCTGACTTCTTCTGCAGTGATGGCTCTGCCTCTAGCTGTGAATCTGTGGTTGCTGCAGCTGGGTATGTATGTATCTTAGCAGCCTCACATGCAGGCTGATCAGGTGCGTGGACTAAGTTTGAGAGAAATCGGAGGTGGTTTTCCAAAACACCATCGTGCTCCATCTCTTCATTGCTAAACCCTTAACAATGGTGCAAAACATAAAGAGACTAAGGGGACATAGGGATGCTGTTTATTGTGGTAATCTTCTTATCCTTAACTATATTTAACTAGTGTGGTTTTGGGAATTCCATTCATTCAAATGGTTATTCTTAGGTGGTTCTTTGGTGGCAGTAGTTGTAAAAAAATCATATATATTAGCTTCTAATTATTTTTTTGGATAACAATTTTAGTATTATTATTATTTAAAATTTTTGCTGTTTGTTGCTCCCTATTCTTCTGCTAATCAGTATGTGTACTGAGAAACAAATTAATGTTTATCTATCTATCCCACCATGCCTTTTGACTTTTACCGATCAAAAAAAAAAATAAAAACACATGCACACACACAAAGTAGACATGTTAACAAATTAATAGTTTTTTCTTGTGTATTACAGTGGCGCTTGCCAGATGGATTTCCTATTTCAGTTTTGCGTGGACATATAGGAGCTGTTACTGCCATTGCATTTAGTCCCCGGCCTAGCTCTATGTACCAGCTGTTATCGTATGTTACATCCCATACTTCTAAATGCATGTTCTATTCCCTATAGTCCCTCAATTGATCTAATGGCTTTATTCTTAATATGTCATTTGATAGTTGTGCTGTTCTTCTGCTAGCACCCAGAAATTTTATCATAAGCTAAGAAGCACATGTGAAGCACATGTTGCATCAATACAGATTTGTTGTTCCTCAATCTTATTTTGTTGTATTGTTTTATGCTCTATCTAGCTAGGATGTCCTGGTTTTCACATCGATCTCTAAAGTTCATTTAAATGTCATTTTCCCAAGGAGGTGTTGTTCCAGTGTATAAGCGGAACATTCAAATGAGTTATGTTAGTGATGTCTGGAGTCTTTAGTTTCTAAGGTCAGGTCATAGCTTTTGATTGGTTAGATGTACAATGCTCTTTCATAATTCACACATAAATTGTATGGGTGTATTAGAAGCCTGAATAATATTTTTGCCTTGAACATCCAACAATGCACTAAAATGTGGAATTATTTTATCTGCACTATTTGAAATGTCCAATCATTTCAGTTGTCTGACCTGCCTATTGAAAACCAAAAAATTTGTAGTGAAGTGTATAGTTGATAAAATCATATTATGAATCAAAATATTAATTTTGCTAATTGTGAATCAAATTGAAATGAGGATTGTAAGATTTGACACAAAATATAAAAATGATATTAAATAATCGGATATATGAAAAATTAAAATAAATGGATTTTGGTAATTTTGGAGCTTTGTGATTTATAGTTGCCAGATGTTGAAGGCAAGTGGTGCTGCTGGAATGGCTCCTCAGCGCCGTCGATCATCCTCGGCTACTCTGTTTGGAAGGATGACACAGGTAATTTAAAGTTCCCATTTGAATTTCCATGTTCTGTCATCAAACGAAGTTTTAGTCCTTTCGTTAGTTCAGGAGTTTGCTATTATTTTTATTTACAGAGTTTCCGAGGAACTCCGCAAGGAGTTAATCTTTCCTTTGTAAATGGTGGCCTGACTGGTGGAGCAGAAACTTTACACGAAGTTGAAGCCAAATACCCAGCTTTGCTTTTCAAGTAGTAACTTACAGCATTTGTAGAAAAGATTTATGGAATGATTTGAGATAACCTTAAGAAAGAGATTTCTCCATTGCTTGGGTTGTGCATCCAGGTAATTGAATCTGTTCGATTCTTAAATTACCAGGCACAATTTATGGTAAAAGGAGGAATGAAATTCTTTATTCTATGGGTTATTTTATTAATTTACTTGGTAAATTATTTCTGTATAAAATTTCTTTCGGAATATGAAAAAATAGGCACCAAGAACTTCGAGGGCAAGCTTGGTTAAGGGATCATCACGTTCAGTTGCAACTACAGCAGCACAGCAAGCGTTGATTGCTCACTGGCAAGGGATTGTATGGGGTACTATTATAGATGTGAGGGAATATTAATCTCACATAAATATATGTCTATACAAAGTTTTATTCATTATTGCTATTTTACAGGTATATTTTTGAAGTTAAATCTCACAAAATTAGTAGTTCAAAAAAAATAAAAAAAATAAAAAAATCTATTGCGGCGTTTTTCAAAACGCCACTATAGTTATATTTTTAAAATAACAAAAAATCTATTACGACGTTTTTGAAGCGTCGCTAATGCTTATGTGACGTCATGTTACCGTTGACTGTCACATTTAGCGGCGTTTTTATAAACGCCGCCTATACTAATTTTACGACGCTTTTAAAGCGTCATAAACTTACAGCGACGGCCGCGTCCTCGACGTTTGGTAGTAAGCGTCACTAAAGGAATTAACGGCGTTTTTCAGACATATAGCGGCGTTTTTTAAACGCCGCTAAAAGTCATTTTCCCAGCAGTGATAATTGCAACTCTTAGCTACAATATGCACCTCTATCATTACATATACTTGGAATGTTATGATATGACACCAAGCTAATAATGCAAGTCACAATCATCGACCCCTTGTCTTATTCATTTCCACAATTTTTTTTCACCCGGAGCAAGATGAAGTAATCTTCAACCACAAGAAAGTGAATGTGGGATCAACACGAGTAGGATCAGTTTTTGTCATCAAAATTAGGGTTTTGATTTTTTTGTCTCAGTAAGGAATTGTAGCTCTCAAAGTCCGTTAGGAATTTTTGATGCTGACCCTAGTGGATGTTGCTGTAGTGGCACTCCTCTGGCTATTCATGTGTAACCAGATTGATTTGCTATATAAGAGTGACACTTCTTTAATGATAGCGTGGCCACACATTCAGTATCTGATAAATATAAAGTCAAAAAAAATGTTGTCGTCATATATAGTGTACAAGACTCTTTCTTACACAAGTCATAAAGTTTAAAATTTGTTGGGGGATATGTGCGTATGGATGTATGTCTGTTAATTTTCCTCGAATTTTCCAGAGAATGCATAGAGGAGAAGAAAACAAAGAGCAATATGAACAAAAGAAAAGGTGACCTCAAGGGGCAATTCTTCGGTTGGCTTGCATGGAAGCACAAAATTAAAACCTCTGTATTCCTGCAGCGGATTAGAGTCTTGGTTAGTTCTGCCTGCCTCTACACTCTGCGTTTTTTGTAAATCTCAGTAGGAATCCATTGAGCATGTTCTTATCCTCTGCCCATCTGTTTGGAGAGTCTGATCTGGTCTGCTGCAATGGTGGGGTGTTTCCTAGGCTGTTCCTGATTCTGTCCATAGTCTGCTGCAGTGGTGGTCTGGATACTTCTATGGGAAAGCTGAACAGCGCATTTGGCGTGCCATTTCCCTGGTCACACTCTGGTCAATCTGGAAGCACACGAACGATTGCTGCTTTAACACGTCTATCCCAAATTTGCAGGCCCTGCAAGTACTGATTCTCATTCGGCTGGCTTTCTGGCTTAAGGCTGCTTCTAAGGAGCTCCATTTTTCAATTTCAGATTTCCTTTATAACATCTCAGGGGTGAGGCGAGGTTTGTTATAGTCATACTTGTCAATCTGTGCTTATAACATCTCAGGGGTGACGCTTGGCTTGTGCAGACTGCAGTTTAGTCCAGTTTGGTGTGGTGTTCTGTTCCAGGTGGTGTCTGCTGATATCCGATCAACTTGATTTTTAACATGTATGATATACTGAACAAATCTTAAAATATGAACCATTTAGATTATCAAAATTGGGCCTAAAAGTGATCCCAATGGCTCTACAAGTAAGAAATATAAGGATGAAATGCAAAGAGGGTATCTTGATTTGCAAAGATGGGTTTTCAGGTGTTATTTTTAGAGAGAGAGAGAATTTTTTTTGTTTTTTTTTGGTGATTAATGTCGTCATAAGTGGGTCCTAGTTAATATATTAAAATAAGCATACAATTAAATCCACTTACGAGCAAGGTGGGCTTTAGTCCTATGGAGTCATGATTTCAGACATGAGACAGTTAGAATCATTGGTGTTTGCTGCCAAACAAAGCCTTATCGTCAGTCATCACATTTTCTTTTTATGGTGAATTGGTCCTTATAGTTTAGGATTTGTATCATTTTAATCCGTAACTTTTCAATTATGATATATTTAACTTTAAATTTTAAATTTTTTTTCAAATAAGGACAATTGACATTTAATTATTTTTTTACCAAATTAATTTTTATTATTTGTTTAGATGATGATCTTGTAAAATTAATTTTAAAAAATTAATCATGTAATTTTTATTAATTTTACATAATTTTATCATTGGTGGATAAAAATATTTTTTAAAAAATTAAAAATATTTTTTTCATATTTATTTTTGTCAAATTAATTTATATTTTATTAAATTGATGACTTTGCCCTTGAAATTGAGCAATGGTATTTTTAATTATCTTTATTTGAAACAAGATTCAAAATTAGGATCAAATGTGTCACAGTTGAAAAGTTAATAATCAAAGTGACACAAAATCCAAACTATAGAGACCGATAGTGTAATTTGCCAATATAATAAAGTCATTTTCAATAGAGCAATTTGACATTGAATATTGGCATTGTTAGAGCCAACTTCTAATAAAGGGGTGTTCATAATTTTTAAAAGAGGGTTACTAAATGCCCTTATTTTTATTTTATTTTTTTGACCCCATCTCTTCTATTTTTTTATTATAATTTTGCCCTAATATCAATTTTCATTTTTGACCCCATCTCTATTCTTCCAACCCCAACCCATCTCTACCTTCACTCCACTTCACTCCAATCGACAGCCTCCTCTGACAACCATTCCAGTGCCTCCCTATTGATGACCACCCTTCTACTACCTCAACCCCCTTGCACTTCTCTCTCTCTCTCTCTCTCTCTCTCTCTCCCCTTCTTCTTTTTCTTCTTCTTCTAGGTTGGGTCACCGTCCATGCTGTCTAGCTACTATCTTTGCGACTGTCTCACCGTCACGACTATCATTCCACAACCGTTATCATGAAGAAGATAAAACGGTATGTTAGTTTGGAACCTAAATGGGCCACTCCACCCCATTCCACAACTGTGGCGAACCTAAATGCACTCTTCTTTGCCCTTGTCGTCGACTGCTTTGAGAATGGGATCAAGATTTGGGGTCTAGAGATGACCAGAGAGAAGAAGAAGCTAAGGGTGGCGAAGGAGGTTGGTGGCGGTGCGTCGCGGCGAAGGGTGTAGCCGAAGCTAGCCTCATATTCAATGGCCACTGGCGATAGCGGCAATGGTTACCAGAGTTGGTGGGGATGAGATTAGGGTTTGGGTTTAGATTTAGGGTTAGGGGTATAGTTGGTATTAAGGTGGGGGTTTAAAGAGAAAATAGAGAGGCTTCATTTTGCTGGATGGGGATTCAAAGAAATAGGAGAAACAAAGTAAAAAGGTGGGAGCAAATAACAACTCTTTTTTAAAATTAAACGAAAGAATTTAAATTTTATATTAGGGTAAACGTTTTTGAAGCGTCGCTAATGCTTATGTGACGTCATGTTACCGTTGACTGCCACATTTAGCGGCGTTTTTATAAACGCCGCCTATATTAATTTTACGACGCTTTTAAAGCGTCATAAACTTACAGCGACGGCCGCGTCCTCGATGTTTGGTAGTAAGCGTCACTAAAGGAATTAACGGCGTTTTTCAGACATATAGCTAAAAGTCATTTTCCCAGCAGTGAATACATGACCAAAGAAAAAGCTAGTGGAAGAATAGAAAAATGATTAATAATTTATAAGTACAAATTTTATACCAAAAAAAAAAAATCAAAAAGAATGATGCCACAGTGGCCGTCTTTAAATTACAAGTCACAGTAATTGGTGTTTTTAGTTTCTGATAAAAAGATCATAAAGAGTTGCATTGTTTTGTATGTAAATTCTGAACAAAATTCTTATTTGTAGATCATTTTGTGAGAAAATTATCACAAGATTTTGAAAGAAAACTATCACAGGGCTGGACGGTGGTTTGAGGGTGGTAATTTTAATCAATTAAGTGCAACTACTTTTTTTATTATTATTTTATTTGTCTGAATGTTGTTGCTTCTTCCATCTCATATTTCAATATTTAATCTGGAAAATTGTGTATCTAATAATTTTTAATTATTATACAGACTTTTGTCTTTAAAGTTCATAAGAGTTACGTTAGGGATTTTAAATAAATTATTAATTTTTTATCAAATTTTTTATGTGGGTGTGGGACTTACACATATGTGATTTGTGTGAGTCCTACATCCATGTAAGAGGTTTGATAGAAAATTTAATAATTTATTTGAGATCCATAGCATTTTCCAAAGTTTAATGCTTCTAATACATAAATGATGTGTTTTTATTAATTTTGTTTTACATGTTGACACTAAGTTTGGATTTTTTTTTTTTTTTTTACTAATATTATATGTACAAATTAGTGTATCAATTGATGATGTGATATAATTTAAGATGTTTTTAGTATTTGTAATTTGTATAATGAATGGGGTCAATAATAATGTCATAACTAGCGTTAGTACACTAGTTAGTGCATGTAATATCACTTTTTTTTTTTTTTTTTTTTTTTGAAAAATTGGAGTGAAAATTGTAAATCAATGGGATAGTTAAGAAATATTTGCATTTTCAAGGTGGTGTAAGTTTCTTGTGTGCAAGTCACCACCGTATGCAAGTTCTTATATATCAAAGGCTTGGTTTGGGAAGTGGGTTAGCTTTTTAATTTTTTTGACTATTTTAGCTTGGGGTTAAAAAGCCTGGCTTGGGAAGGGCTTTTGGCTTTTTTGACTTTTTTTGTGAGAGAAAGAATGTAATGATTATAGATTGGATGTGATATTTTGTCTTATTAAACTAAAAAATCTATTTTATTTTTTGTAACTATTTTAACCTCAAATCCACTGAAACCCACTTCCCAAACAATAGTAAAGTTGTATCAAAAAGATTCTATCTATATTATAGTTATTTTTTTACTGTTCTATTGATTTGCATTTCTCCCCCCTT